GGGATCGTGGGTTCGAATCCCACTCAAGGCATGGATGTTTGGTGTGTGTATGCGTTCATTCTGTATTTGTGTCGTCTTGTGTGTTGGTAGCGGCCTTCACACGTCCAAGGAGCCCTACCGTTGTGAAAACTGATTACTGATTACTGATTAGGGCCAGGGCCCTGGATGGGCTGGAAGAGCCATTAAAAAAAGATATTTGTGAAGAAGCCTCAGATGTACTTACTTACTTACTCATGGAGCTGAGCCCTTCTGGAGGAGCCGCCAATTCTGCAGCTACTCAAGAATTTCCCAGCATTTTATGGAACCCGAAGGTTCATTACCGTGTTTACAAGAGCCCTCCATTGGTCCCTATCCTGAGCCAGATCTATTCAATCCATACCATCCCATCCTATCTCTCTAAGATCCATTTTAATATTGTCCACCCACCTACGCCCTGGTCTTCCCAGTGGTCTCTTTCCTTCTGGCTTTCCTACCAATATCCTATACGCATTCCTCGTCTCCCATATTCGTGCTACATGACCTGCCCACCTCATCCTCCTTGACTTGATCATTCTAATTATACTTGGAGAAGAGTACAAGTTATGGCCTCAGATGTACTACCGAATTGAATCTCATTGAAGTTACCCATTTCGTTTATGAAGCGAACATTACAGCACGTCGAAAAGACATTATGTTTAAATAGTATATTGCATTAGTAGCAATAGTAACAGTGTCTTTGAGCATCTGGACTTGAACTAAAACCACTTCAAAAAGACCTCCGTTGTCTCCGCACATGCAATTACGCTCAAATCTTCCCTTTAGAGCGAATTAAATCGCGGTAGATGAATGTAAATCAACGAAACAGCCGTGGAACGTAGATAACTTTCACATTGCGCTTATTAATAAATATTATAATGTCATAGCAAACAGATGGAAAGACAAAGAAACACTAGATGAAAAGAAAAATTATACATAATGTGATGCATGCCGCTAGCTTGATCAAGTATTTTCGCAATTTTCTTCAGTCTTTCTATTAGAATGCTGAGATAACAGTATACCTGAAACATTCAACGATCGCCTCCTTCTAAATCCCTTTCTACCCACAACTTAAGATCATTTTCCATTTCATTAGACACTATATAACATTTCCAGTAGAAAGAACGTCAACAAACATCTTAAGAATCAACCAATATAACTCTTAACTTCCGCTATATTGCGACCGTGTCCTCATTTCTTACATTTTACGCGTACAATAATTCCATGACAATTAATAAATAAGTGGGGAGCTAAATATACAGTACTAATTTTATTACGGTAAATTCCATTCCGTTAATTTACTGAATTGGTGAGGACAGAACTCAGTAGCTCGCTCCTGTGAACACGGTAATGAACCATCTGGTTCCAAAACGACGAAGAAATCGGTTTCTCACATCCTCAACAGTGTCTCTGCCCCACAGAATTACTTAAGTCGCATTTCACTACTCCTTTATAATCGAGTGTCGACGAGCCAAAACGCCGTGCGAAATCCTATGCTTGTTCCCTTGTCAAACCGCTTCTGTTCTCCTCTCTACGTGCATTATTATGGCTAAGCAGGCGCAGGTCCAATACAAAGTCCACGTTGGCTACTAGACTTTTTTCAGTGTCCGATTATCACCCACCTAAATCTTCTGGTAAAATCTGCAAGACGTTTTCCTACCTACATTATTTTTAAAATTCCAAATTACCAATTACCAATCCAACTGATTTGGTATACCCATGAAACATGTTAGGTTAATATTAAGGGACATGTGGAATAAATTTTGTATAAGGAAACATTTGTCCAGTGCGTTTATTACATACAGTGGTCTGAAATAAGGTTTCAACACACTCTTTTTCACTTTCGTTTTAGAACACGTCACTAGAGAAATTAAAAAAACCCGGGAGGACTTGGAACTGATTATATGGCGTCAAATTGTAGGATGATTGATGAATTATAAACTGGAAAGGATTTGGAAAGGAGCTGTCGTGACCTGAAACGCTATTTTCGCATTTGTCTGAAAGCATTGAGTAAAACAACGAAAGACTCGGGATAGTCGGTATCCCGTTCGAGAGAGCACCTCCGGGCTGAAGATCTAGAGGGTTATCCCTAGACCAACCTGCTCGGTAGGAGGGCGATATTTTAAAAATGTGACAAACGACAGCAATAATTCGGAATTACATTCAAAATGAAATTAAGGTAAAGGTAAATTTGTCCCTGCGCTTAACTAATTAAGCATTATGCCATGAAGGCGTACTGGGGAGTGTGTGTGTATAGATCCACATTTTCTTGACCTCGGCACTAGCTGGAGGTGAGTGGTCAGCTTCACGCCCCTGCCGCTTTACCCCATTGGGAGAGAGCCCCCGTTACCCATTGGATAGGAGGTTGGGTGGACCTGAGAGCTGGTCTGGACAACATGGAGAAGTGAGAATTTTTGCCCCCACCGGGACTCAAACTCCGATCCCTCGGTCGTCCAGCCCGTAGCCAGTCGCTATACCGACTGCACTATCCAGGCTCCCCCGTAAATTTAAGAGGTGATTATATTCCGGGAATTTACCATTCGGTTAAGAACACTTCACCTTCCAACATGTATAGTTTTTCTTTTGTATGGGTAAGATGGTGTAATGCATGAACACAAGTTGAGGGTAGATTCTATAGGGTTCTGACGATGGTGGATGACAAACAGAATTACTGGGTTTTTGGAATTTTCCATCGTCCGGAATTTTAGGTAATAGAGCACAAGACGTTTCGGAAACTGGATCTGTTTCCATCTTCAGGTGAGAAAACGAAGACACCTACTCAGTTGAGCCCCTTAGAAAGAGTGATTGAGATTAGCTCTTTCTGAGGGTTCGAACTGAGTAGGTTCTTCTCTCATCTGAAGTCGGAAGCAATTTCAGTTTCCGAAACGTCGTGTCCTCTATTACCTAGAATTCCGGACGATGGAGAAAGTCCAAAAACCCAATAATACAAGTTGATGGTGTTCAAGAATAAAGTTCTAAAGAGAACGTTTAGACCTGGACTAGAGGGAGTACTCCACAGCGTCCAGACCGGCTCGGGGGCACAACCAGCCTCCTGTTCGAAGGCTACGGGGGGGTCCTTTCTCCGGAGGAAAAGCGGGCAGGGCATGAAGCTCACCATTCATCTCCATCTAGTACCGAGGTCAAGGATGGTGGATGTGTAAATCAATTCCCTCACTGGTCTCCATGGCATAGTGCTTCAAATAATTAAGCGCAGGGCAAATTTCACCTTTACTAAAAGAAGCAACAAGAAAATGGAGGCCATTACATAATGCCAAGCTACATAATTTCTACTAGTATGTAATAGGTCATACTGTTGGAGCGATTCAGTAAGTATGAGATGGGTGGAGACATGCGAAAAAACACTAAGAAATTAGGAACTTATATACAGCTTCGGGGAAAGGAACATAGGAGAATACTGACCTGTACAAGAAGTGAAATCAGGATAATCTACAAGCACTACATAGTGTATGTTTATTAATTTTTAAAGGTAAATTAAGTGGCTTCTCTGCGTCCGGAAATACGATCTCACGAAGTTAATCCAATCAATCCGTAATTAGTCAGACCGTTTACATTCGCATATTAAAACCTCAGTTTCATTCTCCACAGGAAAGTGGCGTCGAAATGGAAAATCTTTCTTTTTTTTTCAAGTAGATTAAACTTCGAAATGTGAATTTCTATTTAATAACCCGTCATTCCACCTGATTCCTCAGCGGTGGGGAAGGTTAGAGCGGCCCGTAACACTTCTTCAACCACTCCTCACCGTAGTACAGCTGCGTAGTTCTCTTCCGGCCACACCGCGCGTCACACACACATGCAGCAACTAATAACCTGAGTTACACATTCGTGCAGCTACATCCTTAATCATAAATATTCGTGTTAAATGCCAAATTGTGACGAATGTAAGATGCACTCGCAGTTGAAGGAAACGTAATAAACAAAATAATATTAATGAAAAGTAACGGAAGTGGAATCATTAGAATGAAAACTTACTGTTGTGTGCAGGCATGGAGAATCAAACTGGCACTGAGTGTCGTGATGCTTATATTCGCTAGATCTAAAGCAGGCGGCATACTCAATGAGGATGTAAATCCAATCAGTGATGTCACAGAGTACCATAAACAGCAGACAGGTAAGTTTATTCGCTACATTACAGATTGCAATAAAACATGTGCAACAATGTAATTAGTCTTAGTTAAAATGTATGTGTGTATAGCAAGATGTTAGAGCTCAGTGGACCTGGTGTGTCATGTAATTCAGAGTGATCCTGTTTCACGTATTACCTCCGAAAACCTGTCCGGAAACCATATATCCTGAGTGAGGTTATTCTTGCCTTTAACAGGCATTGATACGTATTTGCCAATGTAAGTAGCATATTGTCTCTTATTTAAAGCTGCAACGTCTTGTTTTATTTGTTAAGTTTTGTTAAGTAAACTAAACGCGAATGAGAGAATTACTGGTAACAATACTTAGCTGTATAAGCTATGTTAAATAATTCTAAGTGATCATTTCAATTGTCAGGGTTAAACTGCTAATATTTTTTCAAACGCAATAATCATTATTTTATTTAAATGCAATTCAGGCTAGTCTAGTCCAACGCTGTCTTATTCAACGGTCATATTATCACTCAGGACAGGTGTTTACTTATACGCGTTGCGCGCTAGCGTCAGACTGTCTTGTCAGAAGTAGCTGAATTTTTTATCATAAAATCCCGTGTAAAAATATTTTGGCCCAAAGGAATAATATTATGAGGAATACTGCATTTCAGGGTCATATTGTATGTAACAGATATGAGTACCAGGAATATTCTTGCAATATTTTTGGACGTAAAAGGCGGCCGTCGTGTAGGGCTGACAACCTTGCCGCCATCTGTGAGCCGATTGTCTAGAAAATGCGGAAACCTCAACATCTCACAACCCTATGGGCCTCCACGGCCTATTACAGGGATGCCTTCACTTACTTTTTTACTTTTTACTGTATGTGAATAAGTAATTATTGGTTCCGTTATCACAATTAGTGCGTAAAATTTATATGTTATTTCACGGCATGTTTTGGCCCTTCATGGCCATCAGCAGGAAGAATTAAGTATATACTAACTACTTTTCGGTCCTATGGCTACTTTTCAGAAGTTTTAGTCTTGAAGCTTGAAAGGTAGAGATCACTTGGGACATCCAACGGCGAGTGGGACAATCATATTGTCACAGGTTTGCATGACTATAGATGGGGTTTGGATAGGTAATCGGATTTAATGAACCTTTAAACAACTCCTGACTACTCTTCACAAATCACTATCACACAAAGACTGGCGCTCTCGGTCACGGTTTTCATTGCTCTGCTTGGTATAACATCTTCCTGCTCCGGGTCTCATGTCCTCGCAGGCTGGCGGCCATCTCGCACCAACCTCCCACCTTTCTAACTGCCGTCTCAAGACTGTCACGTAGTCAAGCCAAAGTCATATTGCAACTGACGGCAGTCAGTCAGTAAGTCTTGGTGTCGAGCCATATCTGGGACTCATGGCCAGATATTTGTTACTGTTTGACAATTACGGTATTGTTTTTGTGGAGCGCCCTCTCTGACGAGAAGACGTGTCTGTCTTTTGTATATGATGCTGGTCCTTGCCAGCGCATTCTTTCTCAGGTCCGAGTCCCTTGGTACCCGTGACCATATTTTACTCTCTCAGATTTGAGGCTTCCCTTTCCGTCGCCTACTACGACTCGCAGGGTCACGGTGGAGCTATTCGACCCCGCCTCCACACGGGTTCTCACGTAATGGCAGCTGGTACCCTTTGTATAACCTCGGCAGAGACTGTACGGAAAACATTGTTTCAAACAGTACTTCTATTGTTGGGTGAAGTCAGTATCAGCGCGGACTGCACAGAAAACACCGTTCCTCTGTTGCGTGTGTTACGCTGATGAGTTGTCCACTGTGCAGTAACCTAGTGACGGCTCTCTCTTAATTTATGTCACAATATTAAAGCGGTTAATTTTTATAGAATTCGGGTGTAAGGATGTGGACTGGATCGGATGACTCGGGATGGGGCAGAATGGCACGGGTTTGTGAAAAGCGTAATGAAAATTCAGGTCGCGAAAAGCCAAAGAAATAACATTACCGGCTGAGATAATCCTATATTTTCAAGATAAAAGCCTACACCAAGGGGTTAGCAATTTAGTTACAGGAGCAAAATATTAAATTTAGTTATCCTGAAATAATGATAATTTTGTATCCATTTATTGATAGTAACAGAGTACAGACCTAGAGTAATACCCGACAACTTGACCAGGCAGGACAAACTCTCGGTGTGCCATTCCTCTGTAATCAAAGAAATAAAGCAGCACCTTGATTCTAACACACGTGTTTTCCTTGGACGGTGTGAGGCTGTGGATTTCCAACTCATACTCTGCCGCTTTGTCTCAAATTCGTACAGAAAAATGAAGTTTCATCCCCAATGGTGACTCTGTTCAGCCATTCGTCAGTCTTCTCGATTCGTGGCAAGAGCTCAACGTCTCCTAAACTGGAGCTGGTTGTTTGTGAGATTCTTGATCACCACCTTCGCACACATTTCCTTCATCCCCAAAATGTTCATCCAAATCAATCATAGAGTACCGCTACTGATATTTAATTATTCTTTTTCTTCAATTCTTCTGAGAGTAAGGTGTCGATCACACCACACCAGAATTCTCACCTGTTTACCTTTACCGTCCGATTTTGATTCTAATAAAAAAAAGTAAAGCTATCCCTGTAACAGGCCCTGAAGGCCCATAGGTTTGTGAGACGTTGAGGGTCCCACATTATCTAGACAGTCGGCTCAAAGATGGCGGTAAGTTTGTCAGCCTTAAGCGCCGGTCGGCCGCCGGTACTCATTTCTGTTAGAGGCCGAGTGAACCCCAGGGCCATAGTGCGGCCGTAAGGATTAGGTCAATTGAAAAAAAATCCAATGACTTCATCGGTATTTGAACCCGGGACCTTCCGACTTGTAGCACTAGCCTTAACCACTACGCTANTCTAGACCCACTACTTCTAAGAACAATCCGATAGTACCGGAAATCGAACCCGAGACCCTTGGATCTGTAGCCAGGAACTCTGACCACTAGACCACTGAGGCTACCCTGTAACATTTGTGTCAATTAAGCCTATTCGGCAAGCGGTAGCAATTGGAATGGGTAGGAGTAACATGCATCAAGTAATAAATAATAATAATAATTCAGTGGAATAAATGAGCTATATTTAATGGTGTCATAATTTCTCATTTAATTTGTATGACCTAGGAAGACTACTTATTGAGCAACCTCCGTATTTTCTTTGGCGTTTCAAAGGTGTCTTCTTTCTTCCAAGTTTGAAAAAAATATAATATTGATTTTTTCCCCAAAATACTGCAACCGCTTTTCGGCTACCACTTCTTGCAACCGTTGGGCGCCACTTCTTACAACCGATCACTTAGCTACCACTTCTCGCAACCTTTGGGCGCCACTTCTTGTGACCGTCCCTTATCTATCTTTGTATTTATTTATTTATTTGCCCGCTTCGGTAGAACACTTGACTCTTTTATTTGCCCGCTTCGGTAGAACGCTTGACTCTTCTCAGGGTTGTGTCACGGTAATAACTGAGTCAACTCGGAGACTGCGCATCTAAAGCTAGTCCACTGATAGAAATAAAAATACTCTATTTTCTGCTTAATCACAAATTGTTTATTTCAGAAGCAAACACTATATCTTTATTAGCAAGTACGGAGTAATGCGCCCCTTTTATTATTATCAAAAATTAATCGAACCAAATAGACTGATAAATTTAGATATACTTGGAGAGCGCAGCCCAATGACGTCTGCCTATGGTGAATTCAAAGTGCCATGTCCTTCTGCCCACTCTATCCTGCGGGAGCGTCACTTCATCCACTGCATAGGATTTGAACCGACGGCCTTTGTCCCAGACAAGAATAGTTTCCTAATGGCTGATTTTAACTGCCAATTCATCATACCATCAGTACAAGACAATCACATTACTAACTTTGAGAATAAAGAGATCCAAAGATATTGAACCCGGAACCCTACATGTGAAAGCGGTTATTTCTTAGTTTAGGGTCTAATTACACCCTTCCGAAGACACCTTTATAACAGGTACCCTATTAGTAAAACAACATTTACATGTTCGGCAAACTACAGACTTGCCTTTTCGTAATGGGCCACGTCCCTTTTGCGGTCACCCAAGCTGCAGGTAACAAAACAAGGCAGTTGTTCCTGTCTAAATGCGAAAAGCAAGTCATAACTTCTTAATGCATCGGTCTCCCCAATAAATCAGTCACTCTATTGAAATGGCTAAAGGGGAACATAGCGTCCATTAAAGAGTTTTAAAAGGTTTGGACTGTTATAATACTCATGCCTGATTTTCGTGAAGAGCTACGCAAACATTACTTCAGTTAAAGAACAACAGCTCTGCATTCGCTAACTCGCTAGCTCGCTAGACTTGTCAAGTTTGATATGTTGAGATCTCAAATACATACCTACAAGTGACAGCACTTGTCGTCGACCACAGAGGGACTAACATTTCACACTGTTGTTAGTGTCTTTATTTAATTACCGGACATCCTTCATTAGGAAAGTAGACGTTTCGAGTCCTGCTCAGAAAGCGACATTGAAGCATAGTTTACCGTTGCTTACAGGAAATTCAAATAAAGAATGTGTACATGTTGAAATAGACTTCTTTCTTTTCCTTTGGCGGCACAGCCACAATTTGGACCTTGGCCTACCTCAATGAAACTCTCCGTTTCACTTCGGTTTACTAGATCTTAGACATTCGGTAGGACTCCTTGGGCGGGTGATCAGCTCTTAGCAAGGCCACTACTTGTACACAAACACATAAAAACACGCACACACACACAAAAGAATAAACATCCATGCCCTGAATGGAATTCGAACCCACGATCCCGGCTTCCGAGCAAGCGAAGACGGTGCATGCCTTAGACCGCTCGGCTACCGTGACCGGCAATTACTAGACTAATACACAGGAAATTATAGAAAGCGGGCAACTGGTAAAGATAAAGACGCAAGTTTCCTCTGCGCCGAAGCATAGGATTTTGAGGGCTAGGAATGAAGTTACACACTTCTAAACTTGACACTTGATGAAGGTGAGTGGCCAGCTTCACGCTCCAACAATGTCCCAAGCGGAAAAATCTACGGCACACAGTGGATAGCGGGCTGGGTCGGTCCGAGAGAAGTGAACTCCAGACGTAGGTTCACTTTAATGACTTGAATGGACTGGGCCAACGGTATTATCACGCGTTTGGCTGACTTAAAAGACGGGGTCTGGTTTGGATGATTGGATTTATTAACATCCTATACTTTCACACAGTTCAGGACTACAGGCAATTACAGCGCTATCGCTATTCGACACATTTTACGGTTCACAGTTGCACACGCATTAGGATTTTCAGTCTTCACTAGTAGCATCCTTGCAACGGATTTTTAACAGTCTCAATGTAACTTCAAATCGCACATGAAGTCTCCTTGTCACAGTCTAATTCCTTTCTTCCCATTTCTCCTTAGTCACCTTCGATCGCCATTTGCAGAACTCCACCCACTTCCCCATGCTAGCTGCGTGAGATCCTCGTTATATAGCCTCGGATCGGACCCCACGGAAAACACCGTCTTCTGATGTTAAAGAGTGTGTTTACCGTTCCGTTGCCTAGGAATGGGTATAAACGTCAAAACATAAAATAAGTCATTTATTTGCCCGTCTTGCGAAAAGAATCCGGAACATTCTGTCTCGAGCAATACTGGGTCACTGATATTAATATACAATAACCAATTTATCCGTCCCTCTTTTAATCACCAGCATATAGAAATGAAATTCAAGAAACAATTAAAAGAAAAATATTTTGAAAATAAAAAGTAAAAAAAGTAAAGCTGTCCCTGTAACGGGCCGTGAAGGCCCATAGGGTTGTGAGATATTGAAGGTCCCACATTTTCTAGACAATCGGCTCAAAGATGGCGGTAAGGTTGTCAGCCTTACGCGTCGGCCGCGATTTACTCCCAAGGAAAATTATTTAATTAATTCCGGGTACTCATTTCTGTTAGAGGCTGAGTCGACCCCAGGGCTATAGTGCGACTGGAAGGATTAGGTCAATTGAAAAACATCCAATGACCTCATCGGGACCTGAACCCGCGACCTTCCGACTTGTAGCATAGTGCCTCAACCAACTATGCTAACCCGTCCCCTTGTTTTGAAAATACTCGTCATTATTCAGTTCGAAAATTGTTTTCATTATAGCTACGCTTCGTGAATCTGAAAATTAGAATATACGTACAAAACAATAATTTTGGCTGTTGTGTTGTAAGACTAAGAAACGTGGTCATTAATATGAGAGGGAAATATGAATTGAACGTTATTTTTTAAGAAAACGTGCCCAATAAAGTATTTGGATCTAAGAAGAATGGGATTAAGCAAAGCAGGATATTACATAACAAAACTCCACAATTTACATACCTAGGTCACGTGGTTATTGCTATGAGGGGGAAATCTAGGAGTCTAAAATGGATCGAAGATGCATCTATGGTTCGGAGAGACAAAGAATGCATACAGAATTTTAGAATCCACTGCGCTATGTACACTTGGAAGGTAGAGAAAACAGATGGAATAGTAACATTGAAATTGATGTTAGGGACACAGATGGTGAGGACGGGAAGCGAATGGAAGTAGCTTAGGAGCTTGTCCATTGGTGCATTTCAGTATATTGTTACGTAGTATGTGTGACTACAGACAGGTTGTGGATTGGTGAGTGGATTTATTGACCATTTATACACACGACTCGGAACTACAAGCACTTACGGCGACACCGCCAAAAACTCCACAATTCACAGATCACCACAGCACCCGCTAAGCCTTTTCCAGCCTGATGTGTCTTCATCAGCCTTTCCCTGCCAACGACTTCTAACAGTGAAGATTCTTCAACTTCACGTGCTAAGGTTCTATCTTCACAGCCTCCCGTGCAGAACCTTCCTCCACTGACAGCAAACTGGCTGCCCCAGTTCTGTTCTTTATAACTCCTCGGCGTGGACCGCGTTGACAACATCCTGTTTTCCCCGTTTCATGCGTAACCGTTGCAGCGGGAACGTGTTTACCGAGCCGTTGTCCAGAAACGGGTCTGATATAACCGTTCGTCTCACAATCGTTGCATAGCAACGGCTATATACGCTACAATATTCATTCAAAGTTTATTTAACCACGGTGCCAATAACTCTGGATATAAATTCCGGCAACTTATTGTAGAGACAGAAGACCACCACAAAATCCTCAATCGCGATAGTGGCTATCCTAGCAGAAATTGCAATACAAGTCAGAAGCATTTCCGCTTGTACCAGGTTGCTAGATGCAGTTTTTGTGTTCGCCGCGTTTGACAAAAAACATCTGAATACATAAATGTGTGGTGTTGTGTTCCAGGAGAAGCAAGACAGGCGTCACAAGCTCGGCACCGCCTCAGGATGCTCTTCCCCCTTCTCCTGCGCATATCGTCCCGCCTGGCTCAGATCGTGCCCATGGCTCTCGCCGCCATGACAGCCACATTCGTCATGGCTATCTTCGCTAAGAAGGCCTTTCTCATCAGCCTGGCTGCATTCGGACTGATGCTTTACGACACGTTCAGGAAGAAACGTTACATTGTTCATTACCGTGTGGAACCATGGCACGAAAGTCATTTAATCAGCAGTTACTATACCCCAGCTGAACCTCAAAAATATGCATCTCATTCCGATGAAAGCCACAGTTCTCAATGGAAAAATTACTACAATGGCCACAATATTTACGAAGCCGGTAACAAAAATATAATTCAGAATATTGCAGAAGTAGCCACCAGGTTGTACCAGAAAGCCACAACAGACAAATAGTTACTGGCCTTCTCAATACGCCTGACCAGAAGTTCACAATTTGCTAACAGAATTGGAAGAAACACGACTAAAATTGTTTGGCCATGCAAAAGTAATAGATAGGACAAAAGCACTGAGAAGCTTATTAGAATTAAAATCTTAAGGAAACAGGCTTATGGGACAAACCAGAACAAGATAATTCAGCCAATCTGTGGAAGGCAAAAAAAATTGAGGGCCGAGCTGGTAAAAAATCGAAAAGGAGGGCCTCGGGAAGGAAGAAGGGACTGAAGACTTTCCTTCCACCAACCCATACAAAGCTGAAACAAAGTTGTGACAGGAATGATGCCTCACGATCAAAGCGGATTATATCGATACTGCATTTAACGGGACCCCAACTGATTATCAGTCGCACTGATGAATGAAATCTGTGTTAATCCTTCCAAGCACAGCGGATACTTCGATGAGAAAATCACCTGTTCTGTTTTATATCTTTATTTATCATTCTATCTATTCCACCGAAATTCTTCAGTGTTATTTAACATTTTCATCCAGCTTGTCGGCATTTATATTTAGCCCTTAATCTACATAGGCCAAGATTCACTGCTATATAAGACGAACATTTTTCTGTTTTAGTCAGTTGCCTTAGTGTTCTTGAAATAATTCCACGTACTTTCAGAAACATGTGTACTTTTCCGTTAACATCTTCATCACGATTATGTCATATCGCGGCTGAGATAATTCGTATGTTACTTATTCTCATATTGCGTTATATAAAATTATTTTGAGACGAACTGGGTACATTCCCTTGAAAGTCATAACTGCTGATTTTGTGGTGAATGCTTTAAAATTATAATCATTACATATATTATTCAAATGAAATATTTTTTTAAGATTACCTTCATTCTCTTTTATTGTAATCAAGCAGTCAGCAAGTGCTAAAATATTTACATTTGTACTATTTTCAGTTTAAGTCAAATAATCATTTTGCTCATCTCTTGTAGAGCTAATATTTATTAAAAAGCATTGGAGACATACAACGACCCTGTCTCAATCTTGAGTAATTTCTATTTACTTTGAGTGCTGGCCATTCCCTAATTATATTTGTGTCTGTATATATTTCTTAATATATATAATAAATGGTTTTGATAACCCCTCCTAGCCATTATTTTCCAAAGCCTCTATCAGTCCAATCGATCAAAAGATTCAACAGTATTCTGAATTCAATTTTTTATGTTTCCGTAAACTCTATATCCGGTATTAAGAAGGTTAATTTAATAATACTTTTCACAAATATTTCTTATTACTGTTCTAAATATTGGTTCTATTTTAGCCGATTCCACATTGTTGAAATATTACAGTATTTCCATCATGTTTTTAACAAATACAATAGTATTTTCACATGTAAGAGTGACTCTAACGACGGAGTTTTGGATTGTATATTGGATTCAACAGAACTTATAATTACACCTAATTATAGCAGCATCGCTGATATCTACACTTTATAAATCACTAGTGCACACGGACTAGTGTTCTCAGTTCGTTACAGTTGCTACTAGCCGTTTCGTGGTAACGGCTCCTAACAATGGCTATACCTCTGCTTTCGGGCTCAAGTCCTGTCTGAATGGCGGCTCCCTTCCAACTGATTCTTTTCTTCATAGACTCCCGTACAGAATTTATTTGATTGCCCCAGTTGTGTTCTTTATAACTCCTCGGCACCATCCGAACAGACAACGCCGTTCATTTTCGTATCCGTTGCCGCGCGAATGTGTTTACAGAGCCGTTCTCTAGCAGCGGCAGTCTATTATTGCTTATTAAGAATCAGTTGCCTAGGAACGAATGTTGTTTTAGAGCAGTTCGCCAGTAACGACTGTTTCTCTGGGTCCACAGTTTCTTTTTCAGCAAATATGCCATAGCATACTGTGAAGGAAAATTCATTCAGGTTTAAGCATAAGTGTTTCTTTTGGCACTCATAATAAAGAGCGATTATTTTCCTATACTGCATTAACCTACCGGTCTTTATAATGATATTCCTATGAAGTGGGAACTGAATTCTTGAGTTTTGTCAGGCTCTTCGCTTATCTATCGAACTTAACATACTGAACCACCAAGGCCGCGCCATAGGTCAAGCGGTTAGTCGCTGGCTTCCCGCCGCGGCGGCTCGGATTCGATCCCGGGGTCTGGTCAAGTGGGATTTGTGGTGGACAAAGTGGCGCTGGGGGCGGGTTTTCTCCGAGTACTTCGGTTTCCCCTGCCAATCTTCATTCCACTAAATTCCCCATCATCACAATCACCCGGGGCAGCTACAATAAGCCACTCAATGGCCGTCGTGCCGAGTTGATACAGTCGGACTGCACCCCCACTAAGCTAATACTGAACCACAACAGTCGAAGAGCTTCTTGATATGGATAGCGTAGGCTTCCGTCCACTTGGTAAAATAGTCCGTAGCTACCTGGAGGCATCGGCTTCCTGGACCGCTCCGTGAGAGGCCCTGCTACATCAACGGGTATCTTTTCGAAAGGGGACCCTGACGTTGTACTGATGCATTTGACACCGATTCCTGGTCTCTACTTCCTCCAGATTGGGCCCTATGTCCGGGTCGTTATAATAAAATGCTTTACACTGGTAATATGTAGCCAGTGAGAGTAACCTTAGAATCCTGAATAACCACGAGGAAATTTATAGAAAATCTGTATCGAAGCGTGACAGTAAATCTAATTCAACAGAGCAGCCGTCGCTTCATGTTAAATTCAAGGCAATCCAATACTACGAGCGAGGACAGTGTATGGAGGTTAGAAAACGTAAACCACTCAAACACATATTTTACTCGCCGAGATCAATCCTAACATGACTGTTATGCCGAAACCCTCACTGATGATCCCCAATAATTTCATCTATGTGTGGACTTGACCTTGAGGGAAGAATTTTGGATAAAATTTTGTATGAAGTTAATAGCAGTGATATTCCCCGATAATTACTACAGTCTATTTTATCACCCTTCCTGTGAACTGGCACACTAATAGATTCCTTCCACTGGTCGGGCAATTTTTCCTTATGCCAAATAGAAGTAATTAGATTTTTGATCATAGAACGCAATATTTCGCCTCCTTGATTGTGGATCATAGAACGTAATATATCGCCTCCTGCTTGAATAAGTTCTGCGGAATTTGATCACTACCTGGTGATTTATACCGTTCCAATTTTGCAATAGCACTTTCAACCTCAAAAGGGCTAGGATCAGGTACTAATGGCCCTGGTGTATGAATTTCTGTCTGCCTAACATCACTGACCCTATGTACAATCAATAACAGAGAGAAGTACTTCCTCCACCTATTCAAAATGTTGTGGGAATCTGCAAGCAGATCACAATTCTCATTCTTCTCTAAGTTACTTCTAGGTTGTAACCCCTCTTAATTTATTCCTATGTACAGGTCTCTAATGTTCTTGTTGTTACTGTTCATTGCAAACTCATCAATTTTGTCTTTCAGATATTCCTTCTTTTTGTTCCTGAAATGCCTGCTGGTTTCACGTCACACCTAACCCAATTCAATCAACTGGTGTAAGAAGCCAACGAGAATGAAAACATTGATGATTAAATTATTCGCCGAGAGTAATTAAAATAACTTAAGGAAAGAATGAGAATGAATTAAAATATTCATTACTCACATGCCACGGACGATGATGAATACTACACTTTCGTTCGTTGTCATTTATACACATAAAACAATGTGAAACCACCATATATACACATAACACAATGTGAAACCACCTAATACAACCCTCTTAAGCTCTTAAGCAGCGTGTGGCCTCTTGTAAGATAACTTGCGGTGGTCCCTGCGCAAGAGGGGAGGAAAATTAAGTGTGGTGGGAGAAAGCAAAACAGCGCAAGACAGCATGGCGTTGTATTAATTCGGTTGGTAGAGCAGTCGCATAGGATATAACATTGGCTGCGAGATGTCTACTGCAATTAGATATGTTACTGACACGTGGCATATGCCTACTATTAACTCGGGTTCTTTACTAGTGATTATCATCAGTCATCACGCTAAACTTTCATCTCTGCAGTGTTCATGAACTCCATCAGTTAACTAAACATATCCATTACCCACTCCCCTCTCCCGGAGGGTTTGCTGGGCATACTGTATAGGATTACCGGCCTCTATAGTGCTGTACAGCAGTGGTTCTCAAACTATGGGGCGCGACCTCCAGGGGGGGGCGAAGGGCTTGAAAGGGGGGCGCAGCATACTTTCTTACAGATAAAAATTAAAACTGCCCTAAATCAATTACAAAAGTAACAAAAAATAAAAATACATATAGAAAAACTTTTCAGGCGTACAGGCTTTAATTATCATGAATTTCAAAACAACTAATAATTATTCTCTTTACCGGCAATTATAAAACGCGTATGCCACAGACAGCGTTGATAGTTCGGCAGCAGCCGCATCCTCTGAAATCCTCTTAAGCCTAGACTTTTTAAAATGCTGTGTGAGGAAATGGGTGCCAAACACACTGCTCTGTTGTTTTTTAGTGATGCTCGATGGCTTTCAAGAGGCAAGGTATTAAAGAGAATGTTTAAGCTGAGGCATGAGGTGTTCTGTTTTTTAAATGGGGAAAATCACTCACTGCCAGACAGTTTCAACAAGGATTTTTTTTATTGAAAATGGCTTACTTCACAGATATATTTGAGAAACTAAATATCCTCAACACTTCACTTCGAGGGAATGAGGCAACTGTACTTTCTTGGAATGACAAAGTAAAGGCATTCATGAGAAAATTAGAGCTCTGGAGAAACAGTATGGAAAGTGACACGCTAGACATGTNTTCCAATGGACATAAATAGCTGCCTACTTGATCATCTCATAATGTTGAAAGTTCATTTCGAAAAATACTTTTGCAATGATTTTGATAAATTTAATTGGATTAAAAATCCATTCGAAAATTCTCCTGGGCCATCATCTCTGAAGGTAAATGAACAAAAACAACTCATCGATCTCACTAGTGATACTTCATTAAAAAGTAAATTTAAGAAATTGTCTCTGTTGGAGTTCTGGATACATATTGGCAAGGAATTCCCAACTTTGAGCGAAAAGGCATTGAAGATCCTGATTCCTTTTGCAATAACTTACTTATGCAAGACAGGCTTTTCTGCTTTGGTAGCTATAAAGTCAAAGTATTGTTCAAGGCTAAATATTGCTAAAGAAGTTAGAGTGGCCATTTCTGATATTACACCACATTTTGATAAACTTTGTTCTCGAAAGCAGGCCCATCCATCACACTGAAGTTTGACATTTAAATGTTTGATTTTCTTTGCAGAAAAAAATTACATACTTGTTAGTCAAATATAGTTTCATTTTATTACATATTTTGGTTAACTGGAAGTGTTAAAACTAATTTTTATTGTAGGCCTAATATTGTGATACTTTAATTTTGAGTAAAAAACTGCTAAATAGTATGTAGAAAAACACAAAACAAACTGAATAAAACATCAAACATACCATGACTTCCATTTTGACAAAAAAAAGAGGCTGGGGGCCTGAGAGTATTTTCTCTTGTCAGAGGGGGCTCAGAGGTAAAAAGTTTGAGAACCACTGCTGTACAGCATGACTGTTACAATTAGAATCAGCATTTAACTTTGCATCTGTTCCTCTGTATGGACCCCCAATTTCCACAAATTAAATGCAGTATTCAAATAATG